TTATCTATTAGTGTCATTATTCTCCAGTTAAAATGTCTTGTTTCTTTTGATATTCTCAGTGACCTTTCAAGAGAAAGAGACGGGACTGAAACTTGATACTGGACCGTGACATAGAGGTCTTTGGTACTTGGAGCGAAAGGGGATGAACTCAGCTTTAGCTTCCATGGTGGAAAGTGTTGCAGGAGAATCTGCGAGGAATGTCAAGGATGTGTTACTGCTACATCACAGGGGATGAACTCAGCTTTAGCTTCCATGGTGGAAAGTATTGCAATAGGAGAATCTGCGAGGAATGTCAAGGATGTGTTAATGCTACATCACAAACGAATGGGACATTCTAGTCGTAGTTTACTGAGTTAGTTGAATCCATCTATGTATGAAAAGACAAATAAGAAGAAACTGATGTGTGATGCTTGAGAGTTTGGGAAGCTCAAGAGGAGTTCTTATGTCAATTATGGGAAGAGGAGTTCTGGTGTGTTTGATTTGATACTTTCTGATGTATGGGGACCTTGTTCTGCTAGTTCTATGAATGTTTATCGTTATTTAATTATGTTTATTGATTGTTTTTCTCATATTACCTGGATATATTTGATGAGGCGGAAGAGTGAGGTGGTTGCTTGCTTTAAAAATTTTCATAAGGCAATCCAGACTCAATATGGTGCAGTTGTAAATGTATTGAGTATGATAATGGGACAAAATATATCAACAAAATATTTGGGTACTACATGTCTGCTCAAGAGAAACAACACCAAACTACATGCTTATACACCCCAGCATAGAATAGAGTAGTTGAGAAGAAGAATCGACATCTTCTAAAGGTAGCTCGGAGCATGATGATGACAATAAATATCCTACGGCAGTTATGGGAACAAGCAATGTTGACATGATCAACAGGATGCCCTTAAGAATGTTGGAGTGGAAGTCTTATTGTCAGATGTTGAAATGAGACAATAATGAAATCCTTCCATTAAAAATATTTGGATGTACATGCTTTGTTAAAGACAATATACCATCTATAGAGAAGTTAGATCCCAGAGCTGTGAAATGTGGGTTCGTGGGTTATTATGCTGCTGGCAAGGGTTATGTCTGACGGAGCTCGATTGAGAAGAAAATTTTTATGAGTATGAATCTGTCATTCAGAGAGTTTGAACTATACTATACTCTGGAGGTGAATTCATCCTTCGGTGACTCAACAGGCGCTAGAGATATGAGGCAAGAGAGAGTAAGTAGTAGTGGTCATGGAGTGGTGCAAGCAGGATCAATTTTATGCCATGTGATGTGGGATGAATCAACTGAGAAAACAAAAAATGAGGAGATTGGACCCAAAAAGTGGCGGGATTCAGGCTGAAGGTGAGTTAAGGGTGTATACACAGAGTAAGAAGCAAGCTGAGGGAACAGAGTCTACAGTGCCAACAAGTCCCTTGTCTCAGTCTTCCGCAACTCTTGAGACACCTACACCATCCACCTTTAATTCAAAACTCCCAGGTGATATTATTCCTCCTCCGCCCACTCCTACCCCCCCCCCCCCATACATCA